TAGAGTATTCGCTACTTTATTTTATTTTCCAACGCCAAAATGTTAATAAAACGAATTTTTTCACACCATATATTATTGTTGCATATTATTGCAAAAAGCATGTATCGGCCTTTGACAAAATACATAATATTCATAAATTATTATAAATGTTTTGAAAGAATAATTTATTCACTTATAACAACTGTGAAAGTACTGTGGAAATCTATTATTAAATGTATCAATTCATGATTAAATGTTATCAAATATATAATACTTTAATATTGAATTGTAATAAATTGAAATCCTGTTGACAAAACGTTATAAAACTATTTAAGCACGAATGTTCGTATTGGAAACAATCTGTTAAAAGGTATTGTAAAGCAAATGCTATGAGATGCGCACTACAGAAAGTAATAAGAGTTTTGGAATATGGTATGTTGAAATGATAGGTAAAAAAAAATCTCATAGTATAATTAAAAGTAAGACACAATAATTAGACCAATAACACGCCGAATAATACTAAGTCAGAAGTAACCAACAAAAATCAGCGTTATACTACAAAATTTTCACAGGACTAGTTTTCGATGGTTTTACCGAACCATCATCTTCAGCTGCAAAACCGCAAATGAACAAGATAGGAAATAATGATTGATAAGATAAGAAAGCCTGGACAAGAATAAAGCAAGTGGCGCCATCTGTTGGCGAAACCAGAACTAAAACATAATTTCTAAAAGCCGAAGGCAAATTTGGATTGGAATTAGGATCGTTAACTAGAACAGAAAGATTTTTATGAATGTGAAATGCCTCTAGAAAATCCAGTTCTCCCAATGGGAAGATGTTTTGAATAATTTGGCAAGAAAAATTGAAAAGTGTGATTTTCGGACCAACAATGTTGAGCAACAGAAGACTTCTGTGTTTCCTTTTTTCTAACATATGCCTCATGTTCTTTGACGCGAAATTTTAAGGCTCTCTTAATTTGGCCAATGTAAATTAAACCACACTGGCAAGGAATCCTATAAATACCCCAGGAATTCATCCGGAATGGGGTCCTTGAGTATGGAAGTTGGGAATTTTATTGATGGGAGAATAAACAACCCGAAAGTTAAATTTCTGCAAAATATGTGCAACTTTATAGCTAATTGATGGAAAGAAGGGAATGACAACAGAATTTTTATAATCTCCTAAAAAAGAGTGTGGCTTTTTAGTGTGTTGAGATGAGAATTTTTTAACTGCTTGATTAATAATGTTGGGTGAAAAGCCCCTGTCAATAGCTATTGCTTTTAAATAATTTAGTTCTTCATCAAGGGCTAGTTTGGAGGAGCAAGCCAAACTTGAAGAGCACGGAAAACATAGGAATAAAATGAAGCTAACTTTTGTTTAGTCGGATGACATGATTTAAAGTGTGGTGGAAGGCAAACCGATGAAGGTTTACGGTAAAACTGTAGTACTGAAGTTGGATGTGTTACGTGTGACCAGAATGTCGAGAAACGGAAGAGAATTGCAAGTCTCAAGTTCAAAAGTGAACTGAATAGCAGGATCAATAGAATTCATTGTTGAAAGAACTTTATTTAAATCATCTTTATTACCTTCAAACAGGGTAAAAGTATCGTCTACGTAGCGGAACCATGCCGGGAAGTTTAAAGTTTCAAACAATTTTGATTCATAATAATGCATGTAGATATCAGTCAGGATGGGACTGAGGGGGCTTCCCATGGCTAATCCCTCAGTTTGCTTGTAATATTTATTTTGGAAAACAAAATGTGTTTGTTTCAAACAGAGTTGGGTAAGAGAAATTAGCTCATCAATTTCGATGCAAGAGAAATGAAATTCGCGAAGTCTGGTTTCTAGACATCTTAAAGCACCCTCCACTGGGACATTGGTGAATAATGATTTTACATCAAAAGAAACCATGAGTAAATTACTAGGAGAAATGTTTTTAACCTTTTTTACAAACTCTATTGAATTTTTATGGTGTAAATGTTATTGTCTAATAGAGTGGAAAATCTAGAAACTAAATATTTAGCTAATGGATACGAGGCAGTACCTAAATTTGATACAATAGGGCGGAAAGAAATACCACTTTTATGAATTTTGGGAAGAGCAATAAATCTGGCACAATTCGCAACAGATGGATAAGCGAATGTTTTAAGTTGCTTGAAATGATTTGCGAAGATTTGATCGCAGTTTTTATTTGTATAAGTCCGAAGGTGAAGGATCTTTAGGGATCGGATTATGGTCCTTCGTTAAGAGTTTAGTGACACCATCGATGTAAGTGTTCTTCCATGACGACAATCTCCTCCAAACTAGATTCAAGTTTGCTCCTCCAAACTAGCCCTTGATGAAGAACTAAATTATTTAAAAGCAATAGCTATTGACAGGGCTTTTCACCCACATTATTAATCAAGCAGTTAAAAAATTTTCATCTCAACACACTAAAAGCCACACTCTGTTTTAGGAGATTATAAAAAATTCTGTTGTCATTCCCTTCTTTCATCAATTAGCTATAAAGTTGCACATATTTTGCAGAAATTTAACTTTCGGGTTGTTTATTCTCCCATCAATAAAATTCCGAGTTCCATACTCAAGGACCCCATTCGGATATGAATTCCTGGGGTATTATAGGATTCCTTGCCAGTGTGGTTTAATTTACATTGGCCAAAACTAAGAGAGCCTTAAAATTTCGCGTCAAAGAACATGAGGCATATGTTAGAAAAAAGGAAAACACAGAAGTCTTCTGTTGCTCAACATTGTTGGTCCGAAAATCACACTTTCAATTTTTCTGCTGCCAAAATTATTCAAAAAACATCTTCCATTGGAGAACTGGATTTTCTAGAGGCATTTCACATTCATAAAAATCTTTCGTTCTAGTTAACGATCCTAATTCCAATCCAAATTTGCCTTCGGCTTTTAGAGAAATTATGTTTTAGTTCTGGTTTCGCAACAGATGGGGCCACTTGCTTATTCTTGTCAGGCTTTCTATCTTATCTAATCATTATTTCCTATCTTGTCATTTGCGGTTTTGCAGCTGAAGATGATGGTTCGGTAAAACCATCGAAACTAGTCCTGTGAAAATTTTGTAAATAACGTGATTTTTTGTTGTTTACTTCTGAATTAGTATAATTAAAAGAATTATTCCCCTTACATTTTATAAAAAACTCAGTTACAGTTTTAAATAATACTTAAAAAAAAAAAACTCATTTTATTCCCTTTTAGAAATGTTCAGAGAAAGTCAAGTACTATTTAAAGTATTCCGCTAATTCCTAATAATTCTCTAATTTAAAATGAACCGAATAGAGCATTAATTATAAATTGGCTTACATTTTTCGATTTAAAGAGCCTCAGAAGCCAAAAAGTCATGTCATATTTAAGAAAGTATTTTAGGAAGAAGCTCTATAAAATAGAAAAGAAATAATGCATAATTTTAATATTAATAATACAATAAACTTTGATCTTAATTTTTACCTTAACCGAATAAAATCGAATTACCTTAATTTTTTTTTCTAATGTAATTAACGAAAACTGTGAAAATATTTCATTCAAATTAAACCTTCTGAGAAAGGTCCTGTGAAAAGTATAGCATTAATTCCGTTCAGAATAAATGTTGTTTAAAAATATGTTGTTTTCATATACTTAGGACTCTGAAGTGTTGTAGAAAAAGAAAATATATACATTTATATGTATATTTACGACGTAATTACAAAATATTTACATCCGTTCGGATCCCATTGAACTTATGGCTGTTGTGATGGATGCCATTTTTGATTGCACGTTGAATGTTAACGAAATCTGACTCGGTAATATTAACATTTATATTTAATTCTAGGACGATATGTATTTTAACATATATTCACTTATACACAATCACATTGCATGTAGTTACAAGATGAGCATTTTTACAGTTCGCAAGTCCGCATGAGTAAAAATCAAGAAAGTCATATTACAGCTACGATAACATCACGGAGGGAAAGAGAGGTGAGTGCGTGCTTCACCGACGGCAGCCAGGAACCGAGTAACCAGTTCGAATTTTCCTCTAGAGAGGAAGAGGGAGAAAGCTGGTAGCGCCCTCTCTCGGGGCAGCGGACAAATAATAATAATAAAGAGTTCTCCACAATTCCCCCCCCCCCGAGTACCAAAGGTACGATGAAAAAAATCAGTTCACAAATATCTGGTCTTGAAGCGCCACACGTCTTCCCGATCGTGTGACGACTGGTGGAGCACTGGGAGGAAAGCGTAAGGTCGGTCGAAGGAGGAGTATCCGGAGTAGCAGTAGCAGTTGGATCCGGGGAGTCAGGAAGATCGCTGGTCACAGGAACCTGAGTGTTTGAAGCTTCGAAGAAAGCAGACTTCAGACGACCTATGCTCAGGACGGTTTCCTTGTCGCGCACGAGAACGGTGAAATGCTTATTGTTACGTGCACAGACCTTGAAGGGTCCCTCGTATGGAGGAGTGAGTGGTGGTTTTACCACGTCGTTTCGCACAAACACGTGAGTGCAAGTGCTCAGTGCGTGGTGCACGAAAGGGGCAGATTTGTTGTGGCACGAAGTAGGAGTCGCAGACAGCTTCTTCATCGCCTCTCGGAAAGTCTGGACAAAGGATGCTGGATCGACTGGAGCAGAGGATGGCTGAAAGAACTCAGATGGTAATCGAAGGGGTGTGCCGTAGACAAGTTCAGCGGATGTACCTGCGAGGTCTTGCTTGAAAGAAGAACGCAAACCAAAGAAGCACAAGAGGGAAGTGAAGTAGTCTAACGGGTGTCATTACGGCACTTCAGGGCTGCTTTCAGGTCGCGATGTAAGCGTTCCACTAAGCCGTTGGCGGAAGGATGGTATGGTGAAGTGCGAATTCGGCGTATTCCAAGCATAGATGTCAGAGTAGCGAAAAGGTGTGACTGGAATTGTCGACCTTGATCAGTAGTCACAACTGATGGTACACCAAATCGTGCAATCCAACCGGTGATGAATTGTCAAGCCACAGAGTCAGCAGAGTTGTCCTGAATGGGAAAGGCTTCAGGCCAACGAGTAAATCTGTCAATGCAGGTTATCAGGTTCAATGTTCCGTCTTACTTTCTTTGAGAACATGCAAGGACCTGACTCGGAACAGGGAGCTTACTAAAGCTATGTTTCAATAGATGTGGGAAGTAGACAAGATACACAGGAAGGGTATACAAAACCCTTATTTTTCACTCTTTACAATCATTTCCGTACTTCGGAATACAGAGACCAACTACTTGTGGTCTGAACGTAAGAATATAAAACTATAACTAAACTCTAACTTAAATTTGGAATAATAAACGTGGAAGATTGGCCGTATATTAACAGGAAGCCGTATGTAGTACAGAGAACTGTTAACACTACAATACGTTTAAAAATTATCACGAGGATTAAACCTCTGGCCTGGAAGGCAACCAGCAACTGAGTAAACTTCTAAGGTAAGCGGCCTGCTTCGATTAACTCCTTCCTCTCTCTCGCTTGGCAAAAAGCCACAAATTAAGTACTTGGCGTTCGCCAGACAAATTTTGCATAAATAAGTTAACGCTTTTAATTCTGGCCGGAAGTAGAAAATAAGAAGTGATAGTAAAGATTTAAAATAAAATAAACGTTAGTAAAACTTAAGATCCTTACATACTTCCCGCCAGAGTTAATTAGTTTGAAACTGAGGTCTAAAACGACCTTGTTGAAAACCTTTAGCTCTAGAATCTAACGCGAGGCCAATCTTTTACAAACATTTCTCACTAGAAACTAGAAATTAAAAAAAAAAAAAAAAAAAAAAAAATTGTTTTTACAATAGCAGCTCCATGGACACCCAACTTTTTCATCTGTACTGCATCTAAACAAGAGCTTTTATTCAAATCTGGTTCCTTCCAGAGATCTGGAAGGAAAACTAGTTTAATGAAATGTTACACAATGAAATGGCAAGTAACATGCAATATTTATATTTCTCTTAACATTCTTATTTCATTCATGACTGTTTTAATTATCTCTCCCCGTGCTCTCTGACATGTGTTGTAAAAGAACACCAAACACGAATGTGTTTATGTATACGTGTTCAACACTGCCTTCTACAATCAAAACACTAACGTATTAAAATTCAACATGAGAAGACCTCTTAACACACCCTATCTTCAACTATAAACCCTGAGGTACTATTCTGAAAGTGGCTAACTCTGAAGTGTAGCGTCAGAGAGATCTAACTACATTCATTCAACCTTTAACACATATTCACAATTATTTGGTCTTTTTACAGTCCCACGAATAAGTTTAAAATTTTTGGCATTACTTTCACTTTTACCATATCACAGGTATTTTAACATTTAAAATAACAGTTCACATTGTATATAAGAACATATTAACATGCCGTTAATTTTACGCATTTTAAAACATACATTAGTAGTACATTGTTAACTTCTATTCTTTTCAAAGCAAGTGCCAATTCTTCTACATTGAAATACTACATTTCAAAAAGTCTTTCAGACTAAAACTTCTTCTTGCCAGAATGTTTTTAAATAAAATTTTTACAATAACTTTTACAATATTTAAGTATTTACGTTTTCCTATTATATGTCAACTTTAGTTTTACGCGCGAGTAATTGAAAAACATAATACCAAAATCGGTAACAACTCATTTCTCGCCTTTTTGGCGATAAAGGTAGACCTCACATGAGGTAAAACTTCTTGAAATCTGCCACTTGCAGTAAGAATGAAAGATTAACTTAAGTTTGCAAAGTAACATAAAATTTAGTTATCTTTGTGATATTCGGACATTCTTTTCTGAGCCCAGTCCTGGAAGGTAGCGCAGATTCTCGTTTGATTTATCCTCCTTCTTGTACGGGCTCGCCCTTCAGTGCTTTCCTCTAGAAGCTTTCTTTTTTCTCCAGTTCGGTCACCCTTGAATACCTTCTTTTTCGCCTCTGCCTGTGGTCTTGGCCGTTTGATGGCAGCTGGTCTTGGCGGAACCGGGACACTTTCGCGTTCCTGCTTGGACCTCGTTGCTGGCCGTTCAAATTTTCCTTGTATCTTTTCCTCCGCCGCTGGTGGCCCTTCCGCAGTTCGGCGACATTTGCTGCGGAGAGTCCTGTCCGATGAGTAGATCTTCCGTTTGGCAGCCGGGTTATAGTTGCCGTTATTTCTCCTGGCTTTCTTTTCATTCGTCGTACTTCTCCCTTCTTCATTCCGGGGGTGTTCGTGAGCTCTCTTTTCTGGACGGTGGAACGGCTTCTTTTTCTTGTTACCTTCAATTTTTCCAACGGGGAAACTTTTCTTTTCACTTGCTCCTGCCTCCTAATGGCTTGTCCCTTGTGCTTGACGTTGTTCCACCTCTGGAGCTTGTGCCTGCCGTGTCTGCCGTGCCGGATCCTGCAAAAGATCTTTGAAAATTTTCATTTTATTACGATCATAGTAGGGTTTTATTTGATCAATATTTGCGGAGCACGTTTCACCATTTCTGGCTTTTTTTAACACCACTACAGCGTGAGTTATTTTTTCTATGACATATGGTCCTTCAAATCGTGGAAAAAATTTGGCAGTTTATCTTCTGGTGCTGAAGAAAGTGAATGCTTAATTTTTAACACTTCATCCCCTACTTTATAAGTTACTCCCCGTCGTTTCAAATCATAATAAAGCTTTGGTTTTCTCTGTGCTACTTCAATATTCTTTTTTGCTTCTTTAATTAATTTTTCTATATCACCCATTTTAAATTCTGGGGCTCTTTGTTGCACATAAAATAGTATTTATCTAACGGCGTTATAATTTTTCTGCCTAAAAATACTCAGCAGGAGTTGTTGCCCGTTTGTATCATGTTTTGCGGTCCTAAGGGCGAAAGCAAATTCATTGACATAGTTTATCCCAGCTTTTATGAAAATTTTTAACATAACTACGGATAATTTTCACTATATTTCTATTGACCCGTTCCGCTATATTTGATTGCGGCCGATACGGGACCATTTTAAATGACGTATGCCCAGTTTTTGGCACATGTCTTCAAATACATTACTTACAAATTGAGGACCATTATCCGATATAACTTTTAGAGGCGCCCCGTATTTTAAAATATATTTATTTAAAATAGAATCAGTAACTAATTTCGCGGAGGCTCGTTTTTAAGGGAACAATTTCGGTCCACTTTACTAAAATGATCAACCATAACAAGGAGATAGCGACTTTTATTTAACTGACTTTTTGGGAAAGGGCCCAATAAATCGATGCCAATTATTTCATTTGGAAATTCGGATTTAATAATATTTAGAAACCCGGCCGGGCGGAAATTAATATAATTAAACTGCTTGACATGTTGGGCAGGACTGGACATACGCCCTTGTTAACTTTTGCAGTTCAGGAAAATAGACTGCCTCGCGTACGCGTTGTATAGTTTTTTCGAATACCAGCATGAGAAGCTGAAGGGCTGTCATGCAACTCCTGCAGGATATTTAATCTAAGACTAGCTGGGATAACAGGTCGAAATTCGTTGTTGGAATTCGTAGTTTTTGTATAAAATAATAGACCATCTATTAGTTCGTAATGGGCCGCCCTATTTCTTATCGCCACAATATCTTGGTGGCTAAAATTTTCAGGATCCTTTAAATACTCATAAATGCTTCTAAACTCAGGATTCTTACCCAGTTCGGTTATTACAGTTTCTCGGGAATTTATTGTACAGGCTGTGAGCATTGCCACCTTTACAGTATTACCTTCTTCATCTATTTTAATTCTGGATAGGGCATCTGCTACGATATTTTCCTTTCCGGGAGTATGCTTGATTACCAGATTATATTCTTGTAGCTTGAGTGCCCATCTTATTAACCTTGGGGATAAGTTTTTCCCTGAGTACAATCTAGTTACCGCCGCATGATCAAAGTACACTGTTATTGGCGCCTTTCCAAAATAGACTCGGAACTTTTGCACTGCTAACAGAACTGCAAGTGCCTCTCTCTCGGTCGCGGAATAGTTTCTTTGTGTTTGATTTTTAAAGTTCGGCTAAAAAATGCCACGGGCTGCTGATTTTGTGAAAGTACCGCTCCTACCGCATAATCCGAAGCATCCGCTGAAATTTCTAAATTCTCATCCTTTTCAGGAAATTTCAACACAGGGGCTTGCGTTAATGCTTGCTTTAATTTTTCGAACGCACTATTGGCTTCGGCCGTCCACGAGAATCTTGCCTTTCTTTCCTTTTTAATTTTAACAATGGTTCAGCAATAGCTGCAAAATCTTTATAAAGGACCTATAATATGGACAAAGTCCTAGAAAAGAAGAGAGCTTCTTCGCCGTGTTTGGAGTCGGATACTTTTGTACAGCAATTATTTTTTATTCGTCTGTCTCGATTCCTTTCTGAGATATTTGTAACCTAAATATTTAATTCAGGGGCTGCAAATTTGCTCTTTTCGACATTAACTTTTAGACCGGCCTCATTTAATAAAGAAAACACCTGTCTTAAATCCTGTACATGTTGGTCGAGATTATCACTAGTAATAATGATATCGTCTAAATAGATAAATGTGGACTTTCCAAGAACAGGCCTTAACACAATGTCCATACATCGCTGAAATGTTGCCGGTGCCCCTGAAAGGCCAAACGGCATACGCAGAAATGCATAAGTGCCAGACTTGGTTATAAAAGCAGTCTTAGGCACGTCCTCAGGCCTAACCCCTATTTGAAAATAACCAGTCGTTAAGTCTAAAGTCGTCATATATTTGGTCGATGTTATGTTCCTTAGAATTTCTTCCAATAATAGGTAACGATATATACCGGATATTTAGTTATGGAGTTTAATTTACGGTAGTCAATCGCGAATCTCCACCTTTTGGATGTGTCAAAGATAGTCATTATTTTCTTACATAACACCACCGGGCTAGCATAACTACTTGAGATGGGCGTTATGATCTTTTTACGTAGCATATCGGTGATATGCCATTCTATAATTTTTTCCTTATTCTTATCATACCGGTATGCTTTGTGGCGAACTGGCATTGAATCTCCGGTGTCAATACTATGGTTAGTAACCTGAGTAAATCCTGGAATATCACTAAATAACGAAGCAAATTCACTTACCACTTGTCGGATTCTTCGTTGCTCATTAGGCAGGTGGTCAAGGTTTAACATCGGCGGTTCAGCCTTTTCTTCTCGAACTGGTTTCATCGTCAGCTTAAGGGACGCTTCATTAAAATCCAGCGTTCTGCTGTGCCTCTGAAAGAAAATCTATTCCTAAGATAATATGTGCTTGCAGATTCTTTACTATGAAAAAACATAACCTTTACTTGTTCGTCCTTGATACGGATGTATAGTGGTAATTTACCTATGCACTTACATCTTTCTCCTTGCGCCGCTAACACTGTCGTATTATCCGAATTATATATGCGATATTTACGAAAATACTTCCTAAAAAAATCTTCTGCCACACAGGAACACTGCGCGCCTGTATCCAGGAGTGGGTGCGGTGGCTGGGATATTATTCACCAACACTTCAATCTTCGGAAGAGTCAAATTTTTCACCATTACTGTATTTAACTTGAAGGAAGAGGGGTTTTCTTGGCCTTCGGATTTCCGCACCCTCCCGTCAGCAGAAATCCGTTTTAGTTTGAATCCTTTTTTGTTTCCATGCTTTCCTTCTTTTTCCACTGGCCTTGAGACTTTTTTCCTGGGTTGCTATTGAACTGTCGACGTTCGCCGGCTGTTTTTGAATGCTCGGGTTTCCCTGCCCACTGATTCGCTTTGCTTCCGTAACCGTGTGCTTGACTTTGCTGTGGTCTTGGCCAAGGAGGTTAGAATAGAAGGAGGGAAGGTTCAGCTCAAACGGTGAAGCTTGGCGGCCATCTTCCTGTTATCACCGTGACTTGTGCAAGGAAATTGTCATTGAACATTTTTTCTTTTCTTTTTGAAGCATGTCAGCTTGTGTTGCATATGGGTGCACAAATAGATTCTCGAAAAAAATTCTGGGCGTTATTTTTCACACGTAAGTATTGATTTTCTTTTTTTATGTAATACGACAACTATGTCAAAAAATATCACAATGTCATGTTGTTTTCTTTCCAGATGTGAAAAAAAAGGGACTTAAATAATCAAAATAGGTTACGTAATATAACTATAATCAAAATATGTTAAATACATTTCAATGTTTCTGTTTATAGCTGGTATCTTCGTTACCTTAAGATACAATGCTATATGGTAGGATTTAAATTGTATAATTTGAACGTTTCAGGGAATTCGTTTTATAACTGTTCATGAAAAGTAAAGAAATCAATTGTTGCTATTTTTATGAATTGTGAAAGGTGTTAAATAAAGCAATGCTTTTCTTTATGTATGAATTAATTGTTCATTTTAAAGTTTCGTGAACTCGTTACGAATATAATTTGTGCATTTGATCAAGATAAACTGTTCTATTGTTAAAATTGTTTTGCATAAACTTACAAATTTCTGGACAGTACAGCGATAAAAGTAAGTAAAATATTTACACAAATGAACATGCGGAAAGATGTATCCAAAAACTTTATATAGGTGTATTTCTGTAATTCAGCTTAATTCAAGGCAATTTCTTTGAGATTAATAAATATGAAATGCGCATAAAATGAAATCAATGAATTCACATAAATCCGTTTTTATTTATTAAGATTTATTTTCTAACCTAAGCAAATCCGTGAAATATGCAGAAACATCATTTTTTAAAGGCTTTAATGTTATGCGCATGGCATTTAGATTTCGAACTATTTCTTAATAATTTGCTGTACATAGTAAATTATGGATCATCTTTATTACTTTAAAACAAAAAATTCAACAATAGCGAGGATTTCATTAAATTTAACATATTTTTACTGGAAAATAAATGCACGGAACAGCTTAGAAACACGTACATGTCACTGCCGTAATGCAATGTTTTGAAGTCACAAACATGGACGCCGCTTGTTCGGCGGAGTTTCATTCCCCGATAGTGGAGGAAACTACGAACCCTCCCTCCTTCTATTCTAACCTCCTTGGTCTTGGCGCACCAAATTGGTTTCGTTGTTGATATTGGCGTCTTCTTTCAATGTCCGCCGTTCTTCTACTTTCAAACTGGATTGCTAGCTCAAATAATTTTTCCAGTGTAGTCGGATTCCTTAATTCAATAAAGTCTTGCACTTGGGGAAGTAACCTCGGCAAAATCACTTGAATTATCTCAGGATCCGGACGGTTTCCATACAAGAGCTTGAAAACGTGAATTTTTCTAAATAAAGCTTGAGAGATTTTCGATTCTTTGCTGATATATGCTGAAAAGTTCAGTTCTAATTTCGTACGATCCCTTACGACAGGGAAGGCTTTTACTAGGGCAGTCTTGAATTCTCGTAAGTAAGGTGGGACTTCCTGTTGACCCCCAAGAGACTTCTGCCTATACATTTGAACCAGTTAAGCGCTTGGCCCTCAAAGCGCTGGTAGCTAAGGTAACTTTTTGAAACTCGTGCACGGGGTAGAGCATGAAGTGGTCATCCAATTTTTCCAAAAAACTGGTTACCGGTGAGTTTCCATTAAATGTTGCTTCTGGTTTCATCGAAGCGCGCATGGTCTGGACGATGTAACCAAATCCTTCCAGGGCGGCAGCTGGCATTTCTGGATTCTGAGCCGCTTCTGCAGGCAGCACAGGTTCTTCTTGAAACTCGGCCATGGTTATTCTTCTTCGTTGGGCGCCACTATCAGGTTCAGTGTTCCGCCTTACTTTCTTTGGGAACATGCAAGGACCTGACTCGGAACAGGGAGCTTACTAAAGCTATGTTCAATAACTGTGGGAAGTAGACAAGATACACAGGAAGGGTATACAAAAACCCTTATTTTTCACTCTTTACAATAATTTCCGTACTTCGGAATACAGACCAATACTTGTGGTCTGAACGTAAGAATATAAAACTATAACTAAACTCTAACTTAAATTTGGAATAATAAACGTGGAAGATTGGCCGTATATTAACAGGAAGCCGTATGTAGTACAGAGAACTGTTAACACTACAATACGTTTAAAAAATTATCACGAGGATTAAACCTCTGGCCTGGAAGGCAACCAGCAACTGAGTCAACTTCTAAGGTAAGCGGCTGCTTCGATTAACTCCTTCCTCCTCTCGCTTGGCAAAAGCCACAACTTAAGTTGGCGTTCGCCAGACAATTTTGCATAAATAAGTTAACGCTTTAATTCTGGCCGGAAGTAGAAATAAGAAGTGATAGTAAAGATTTAAATAAAATTTAGTAAATCTGTCAACACAGGTGAGTAGATATCGATAACCGTCAGATGGTGGCAGAGGACCGACGATGTCTATATGGACATGGTCGAATCGTTCGGATGGCATCGCAATTTTTTTCCAAAAGGGCTATGTGTGTGCCGGGTAACTTTTGAACGTTTGGCACATGATGCAGGAACGAGTCCAGTTGGCAATGTCCTTTAGCATGGATGGCCAAACGAATCTTTCTTGTATGAGCTTTTTGGAAGCCCGGATACCTGGGTGCGATAGGTTGTGAAAACAGTCAAAAACTTTTTTCCTGAACTCAAGTGGTACATAAGGTCGCAGTCTGTTGTTGGAGGTATCGCACAATAGTTGGAGGTCCCGAGTAAGTTGTAATGACTGGAATTTCAGCGAGCAGTTTGGGTCTTCACTCAGACGTTTTAACTCCTCATCAGTGGCTTGCGAGTGAGCAATAAGCGTGAAATCCAGTGGTGCATTGGCATCGATGCCCTGAATACGTGAGAGAGTATCCGCGACGACATTGCTGGAACCTGATATATGCTGAATATCAGTGCTGAATTGAGCTATATAATTTAAATGCCGAATTTGTCTCGGGGAAGCAGAATTTGATTTTGATGTGAATGCATAAGTTAGAGGTCGGTGATCAGTAAATATAGTGAAGTGTTGACCTTCAAGATTATGCCTGAAATACTTAATAGCTGCGTAAATAGCTAATAATTCTCTGTCATACGTGCTGTATTTTTGTTCTGTAGGGGACAGCTTACGTGAGAAAAATCCTAGCGGCTGGTAGTCATTAGAATGTCGAACGTTTAAGACAGCTCCGATGGAAATGTCAGAAGCGTCGACCATAACACTCAGCTTTTAGGTTAGGAGAGTGATAGGAGAGAGTTGCAGAATTACTAAGGTCGTGTTTACATTTTTCAAATGCCTGATTAAGTTAGTCGTTCCTAGAACAGGGCGTTTATCATTTTTACGTGAGTCTTTTAAGAGTTCATTCATTGAAGCTTGGGTCTCGGCTGCCTTTGGTAAGAAGCGGCGATAAAAGTTTATCATGGCTAAAAAACGTCTGAGCTCGACAATAGTGGTAGGTTTTGGGAAGTCGGCAATTGCTTTTGTTTCCTCAGGCAGGGGTTTTACACCTGAGGCAGTAATGAGGCACCCTAAAAATGGAACAGATGGTTTTCCGAGTACACGTTTGTTAGGGTTTAATGTCAAACCATGTTTATTGAAACGATCAAACACTTGACGAAGATGACGGATGTGCTCTTTTTCGCTAGTCGATGCAATAAGGATGTCGTCAAAATAAGGGATGCAAAAATCCAATCCAAATAAAACTTCATGTATATAAAACGTTGGAAAGTTTGGCCTGAATTTCGTAAACCAAACGGCATAGCCAAAAATTCAAAAAGACCAAAAGGGGTTGTGACGGCAGTTTTCGGAATGTTCTGCAGGGTTAACAGGAATTTGATGATAGGCACGTGCTAAATCAAGTGTTGAGAATATGTTCTTCCTGAAAACATTTGAGTGCAATCCTGAATATGGGGTACGGGATAGCGATCCGGAATTGTAACGGCATTTAAGCGACGATAATCCCCGCACGGTCGCCAGTCGCCATTAGCCTTACGAACCATGTGCAGGGATCTTGCCCAAGGACTTTTTGAAGGCTGAATGATGCCTTTTGATAGGAGAAAATCAAACTCTTGACGTGCAGCTTGAAGTAATTCTGGAGATAATCTTCTAGGTTTGGAGAAAATAGGAGGTCCTTTAGTTTCAATGTGATGGAAAATCGTTGACATTGGTGGCCTCTCAAAAGTTTGCGAAGGATTCGTCAAGCTAGGGTAATCGGCAAGGATTTTGTCAAATTTTGAGTTACCCATCAAAACATGAATGCTAGTACTGAGCGGGTTCACATTAGGAAGTCTACCGCAAAAATATAGTTTTGTTTGTCCATCAATTAAACGGTTGTTTTTAACGTCTATGAGTAAGTTGAACTTTGTGAGAAAGTCAACACCTATGATGGGTTGATTGACGTCTGCCAGGATAAAAGGCCAAGTAAATGAGCGACGTAAGTTTAAATTGATGGTCAAAAGTTTGGTGCCATACGTTGCAATTTTAGTACCGTTAGCGGCAAAGAGTTCCAATGCAGCTGGTACTTTGGCATGCTGACTATAACTCTTGGGAATGACAGATAAATCGGCTCCGGTGTCAATTAAAAAAGTCAGCTTTGAGGATGAATCGGCCAAAAGAATTCGATTGATGTGGCGGTCGAAACGTTGGCCGGCAAGCGATCGCCGATCTAGTTTTCCGACTGCCGGAAATTGCACGGAGAAACACATTTTCGTGCCTTGGAACCAAAATTAGTATGGGAGAAACAGATGTTGTTGCACGGTTCTTTATACTGTCGATAGCGTCCACTAGATCTATGACGCCTACTGTTGCGTTGGGAATAGTCTCTTCGTTCACAGGAACGCTCACGGCTGTTTTTGAGGGCTAGCGAAAGTTCATTTACCTGCTTTGTCAGCTCTGCAACTTGCTGTTCAATGGAAGAGGTAGATGCCGTAACAGCACTATTTATGTGCGGGAGAGTTGTGAGATCTGTAATTTTATCAGCTACAACTGCTAGTTTTGGAAGATCATCACTTAAGGCAGCAAGAATACTTTGTGTATTTTGCGGGAGACGAGATATCCATAGAGATTTCAACAAAGGTTCTCAACGGTCTCTCCAGCGAGTTTTCGCATACGGCAAAGTAATTGTGACGGGCGTTGATCGCCAAGTTCTAGCCCTTGAAGAAGTGTACATATCTTTGACTCCTCACTTTGTAAGGATCTTAAGTTTTACTAACGTTTATTTTATTTTAAATCTTTACTATCACTTCTTATTTTCTACTTCCGGCCAGAATTATAAGCGTTAAGGATTTTATGCAAAGTTTGTCTGGCGAACGCCAAGTATTTAAGTGTGGCCTTTTTGCCAAGCAGAAGAGAGGAAGCAGTGAGTTCGAAGGAGGCCGCTTACCTTAGAAGTTACGCAGTTGCTACTTTGCCTTCCAGGCCAGAGGTTTTAATCCTCTTGATAAATTAAACGTATTGTAGTGTTCACAGTCTCTGTGCTACATACGCTTCCTGTTATTATAAGGCCAATCTTATTCTAAAGTTAAATTAGAGTTTAGTTTTATTTCTATATCTTTTACGTTAGACCCCGAGTGGAGGATCATTGTATTCCGAAGTACGGAAGTCATTGTATATAAAGAAAAATAAAGGGTTTTGTATACCCTTCGTCTGTATCCTGTCTACTTACTACAATTAGTGAACATAGCTTTAGTAAGCTCTCTGTTCTAGTCAGGTCATTGTATGTTTCCGAAGAAGGTTAGAAGAAACATTGAACCTGATAACTTTCAGAATGCAATTCAATTAAGCGTGTTTTTAGTGTATCATAGTTGCCAGTCACAGGTGGGTGTAAAACGATATCACAAACGCTGTTGAGGATATCAGATTTGATTGCAGATATCACATGATTGAATTTCGTGGAGTCAACAGTGATTCCGGCGATATCAAACTGGGCCTCTAGTTGTGCAAACCACAAAGTAGGGCTGACCTTCCAAAATGGGGGAGGTTTGATGGAAACACGTGAAATATTAAGATCGTCTGCGATGGGTTGTGGTGGAGCCATGATTCACAAAAACAAATATATATTGCCAATATGACACAAATAAATACACAATAATCAGTCACTAATAAGTTCACATACGACACTAGTGCAAAATAAATAAAGTTAATGTAAACATTAACGTGAGAGAAACACTTTTGCAGGTAAGCTATCCGAATATAAGCATAAGTAATAATAAGAATTTCCGTGGCTTACCTCCGTATTATACGAGAAATATTTGCTCAGTCAGCAGCAGATTCAGCACAACACAATTCACTTATAGGAAAAATATTCCGAAAAAACTTATTTTATGATATGTAACCACGTTGTACGATTTATATGGGGATCACTTCAAAGCACTTTGACAATTTGCATGAGACACATGATAATTCACAAGCACATTGTTAAGCAGGCACAACTGTTTTTCACACTATATTGCTGATGACACGAAAATAATGATGGATTACGCTAGTAGTTTGCATGAACAGAAATCATTTTCACTTCATAGCACATTATAATCACAGAACTTGAGGATGCAAGCAGGTTACAGGAGGCACGTGTTCACTAACTTGACGAGTCACCATTTATGGCTGTTGTGATGGATGCCATTTTTGATTGCACGTTGAATGTTAACGAAATCTGACTCGGTAATATTAACATTTTATATTTTAATTCTAGGACGATATATATTTTAACATATATTCACTTATACACAATCACATTGCATGTAGTTACAAAATGAGCATTTTTACAGTTCGCAAGTCCGCATGAGTAAAAATCAAGAAAGTCATATTACAGCTACGTTAACATCACGGAGGGAAAGAGAGGTGAGTGCGTGCTTCACCGACTGCAGCCAGGAACCGAGTAACCAGTTCGAATTTTCCTCCAGAGAGGAAGAGGGAGAAAGCTGGTAGCGCCCTCTCTCGGGGCAACGGACAAATAATAATAATAAAGAGTTCTCCACAAACTCAATGGTAAATGACCCAATGTTTTGGTCACCACGTAGGGATCGCCGGTGCTTCAGAGCAGGGTACGGGAGAAACTTGTTTAGGGCAACTCCATCTTACTTCCTACCTCCATGTCCCAGACAATGGGGCTGCGCACAGGGGGGAGGAATTTACGGAGGAGCACGTGCGGGTTGCTACGTCACCAACTACGCACGAGTCGCATCACATTCGTGACGTTATCCCGGATTATCTTGCTATTGCTACGTCAGCCGCATGTTTCATCCTGTTTATGTTGTAATCCGGTTTCCTGTTGGCGCTTATCCATTAACGCAAATCCGCCACGTGATTGCAACATGATAGAAGTTTCTAGTGCTTTCTTTGTAGTTCAGCAACGGCCACTAGAAGACCCACGGCTCTTTCTGATAAGTTCTCGTGGATCCAGGCTAAGTTATTAACCATTATTTTTAATTAATTATACTATTTGACTTAGTATAGTAGCATTTAATGAAAACAGTTCTTGTATTTGTCCATCTGTAGCATTGGAAACGTGGACGATAACACAAAGCTATGCTTTTGTCTTATGAATCCTAATATTTGACCGTGTCCATCCTCTTTGTGCAGCGGAAACCAGCATGAGGCTGATGGATTGTCCATACAGCAATTCTGTTCCAAACCTTCGTACATCCCCGATGACGAACGAACTTATAACTTTAAATTTATTTTGTTTCTGTGTTAGGTTAAGATATTTTAAATTTCTCTGTCCCTTATCTTACAAACATAATTTATGTAATTTTCTACGTCATTCGTTTTAATTAATACGTTTTTTACGTCATTTCTTACCGTTCAATTAAATTTACTAATTCTCACTCGATATTTTTTATATACAAACATAAGATTTCCTTTTCTTTCCAAGTTTTTAAGTTTTACATTCCGTCCCCCTACGTTTAAATTGCAAAAGTAATATATTTTATAAAAGTAATACTTTTCATAATTTTAATTTTTTCTCTTTTTATTTTACATTTTTTTGTTGTTTTTTTTTTTTTTTTTGTTTTTTTCAGTTTCATTTTTTTCCATTTTTTTTTACATTTTTCACATTATTTATTTTACAAAAGTTATATTTATTTTAATATGATTTTAAATTTTTTTTTTATAAACTTAGTCTTTTTTCTTTCTATATTTTACTTAAATGTAATTTTTAATTTTTCTTTTTTATAAAAAAGTACTTTTTTTAAAATTCTTTAAAGAATTTTTTTTTCCTCTTAACGTTTTCCTTGTTTTAAATACTTATTGATGTTACACCTGTTTACCAAAAATTTAATATATATTTCTCTGTCTAGGAAATTGAAGCTGGAATTTACACGCATATAATTTCCCTCTAGAGGCTTTCACGGATAATATTTTCTGTAAATTTAAACCAATAAGTATGATGTTCATTCTATATAGTTAAATTAGTATATTACATTTCTTACTTTTTTTTTACACTACTAAAGATAAAAAAAACTTTCTCTTCTAATCTATTACAATATGTTACTAACACTTTGACAGGTGATATTCCGAACTTTCTCTTCTAATGTATTATGCTAACATTTTGAAACACTATACAAAACATTGCGGACTCTCTTTTACACATCTTACTTTATTCAAAGGATTCACGAAACGTGTAAAAAAATGTAAATTTTAAACTTTCTATCTTCCATTTCCCCTTATATTTAACTTTTATTATGTTTTTAAAACATATCCCTGTTAATATTTCTGATTCCTTTTTTTCCTAAAAAAAAATAGACTTATACGGAATTTTTAAAGACTTTGAATTAAACCTTATAATTCAGAAATAATAAATTTTCATGACATAAAATCTACTTAAACTGATATATGGACATGTCTAGCCAGTTTCGTTCAAATACATACGAAAAAATACGAAATTTCTTATTATTGTCTACTCCAGTGTAATACGTACCAACAGCATTTCATTTCTTATTATTTTACACTACAGACATTTACAAGAATATATTCAGAACACTTATTTTTACTGAGCAGGAAAATTAGTTCATATTACTAACACAAGATTGACTCTTTGAAATATTTTACAAAAATATCTTGGATATTCTTGTATATATCGTATTTAAATCACCAAACTTACGGGCCCACCAGCGGCCGGGCGGTAAAGTCGCTGAACACTGGTAGTTCGGTTCGAGGTTCGAATCCCGCGGACTGCATGGGTGTTTTCGTGGTTTTCCCCATGTGTAACGTGTATACGAGCCAGTTTCCCTTAGAAAGTCCTCCACGAAGGCATCCCTCCCCTTAGGCAGATAGCCCTAGTGTGCTTTGCCATAATTAAATACACACACCACCAAACATACGCTAAACCTTAATTTCCATCATGTGAAAAAGTAATTCGGATTCTTAATATGATCCCACCATTTACCGCAGATCTTCATAAACACTGCTATATTTGAACTTAACACAGCCTTAATTGTTTAACAAGCTACAGAATTTTTAACTACAGAGAAGAATATCCACATTGTAATGTAATATTTTAAATTAAAAAAATAGCCATGTTTGTGCAAAACATCTAAAATGAAAGGACGTCTATAATACACATGGAATTAATATTCAGTCACGGAAGTGAAACTTTGTCATCTTTTTCCCACTTAGAATATAAAAATTTCTCAGCTTGGAATATTTTTTTTTAAATAGTATCATCATTATTTTAACAAGTCTAAAAGCTTTTTAATATATTTCTTCTAACTTAAGATATTCATTTCAAATTGAAAAACACTGAACTCTTACAACATTTTGAGAATGATTTTTAAGTTATGATACATAGCAAATAAAATCCTGCATAGCAGGAAATATTGACATGAATTCAAATAATAATCAAACTTAACTTCAATATATTCAATTTAACTGAAGATACGCATTTCAAACTGACACTACTTTACTTAGAGTTCTTACAGCTCTTTGAGTACATCTGATTATTAATTTTTCACAGATATGAGAAACATTTTTGCATAAATACCATACAAAACATATAATATTGACATGAACTCCATATGATGGTTCAACATCGGTAACTTAAATAAACTTTTAATACATTTTAGTACGAGTTTATTTAAAAAAGAAAAATTACAATACAAGTATTCAAACAGAAATGCTTCACAAATTTCAGATAAAAAGGAACGAAATGAACCTAATTGATAATAACGGAAAAGCATACAAAAGACTATGAAAAAAGATGCATTCGTGCAAGACATTCCAAGGCCCTACTTAGCACATGGGCTGCATTTTTACTTTTCAGATTAAGCAAACTTTCAAGATAATACCTATATATCTAGAGATATTATCTACACTAGTTGGTAACCTAATTTATTAGAACAGTCTCAGACGTATAGGGGAGGTATGCAATACCCATGAAAAAACTTCCTCCCAAGCCAAAAAGCAATAGTGAAATACAGCATGTAAGAAGGAAAAAAAATGTCAGATTTCCAACAAAATTAGTATCTGAGTATGGAAAACATGAACAAGAAATGAATATTTTTTCTGAAAATGTCCCGAATGGGATAAGACAGGGATAAGAACCTTAACCAGTTTCAGGAATAGAGCATGAAAAATAATGAAGTGTTTTTAATGTTATTTTTGTTTATAATGCATTTACTTATACGTTTGAGGACTGTATTCTACACTTTGAAGGAATTTGATAAATCAGAGTGATTTCGTTTTCTGAAGGTTCAAGTTCAGAAATATTATAACTCAAAAGCAAAAAGGTTAGAACGATAATGAAGTATATCGTAACCAATAAAAAATGAAACCTAAAACAATTAAAGTGAAACTTTTTCCACCTAAAAAAATCTAAATGAAGCATTTTCGACTTTTTAAAATCAAAGTGTAACTTTTCCCCTTTACATTTTGAATTTAACATGGATTTTCCCATAGACAAAATAAAAGTGGAGATTTTACTCCCTAAAAAAATAAAAGTGAAACTTTTTCGACCTAAAAAATCTAAATGAATTTTTTCCACTTTTTAAAATCAAAGTAACATGGGTTTTTCCATAGACAAAATAAAAGTGGAGATTTTTC